TAGGTTAGGGTTTAGGGTTAGAGTTATTAATAAAAGAGTATATGTGGATTTTAGCAGGTTTAATAGATCCAAATTACGACCCCCAAAATTCAGCATCAGCCGCGACATTTATTATAAATCTGTAAATTAATACAGTTCTGGATTTTATTTTCGTTCATTATATAGTACTGGTCACATTAAATATTGAGACATAATATAGCTCACGTGTACAAACACAGGTGCAGTAGTCAAGCCACCGGTATTAGGTATGAAATAGCATGCGAAAAATAGGCAATGCATAACAATATGTGATGAACAGAGTTATGCGGACCAATCGAGTGCTGAGAATTGTACACACACATTAACTTGCCTGTAAACCATACAACTACGTACTTCGTACTCCGTTCCTAGTATACTTTAATGATCTTTTCCTATCAGCTATACACAAGCTATTTAATTATTAATATCAATAAGTAATCATAAAGTATTCAATAACCACATTACAAGGATACTACTGAATATACAGTAAATCCCAATATATACACAATTTCTATCGAGTTGGTAAATAAACCTTTATTTCATATTTAATTAGAGGTCAATAGGCAAGAGTATCCAGAACACCTGATGGAGACGGTGAAGGTGGATCGTTATCATTACTATCACCATGATCATTAGGTGTAAGGGAATGAGGATTTATTATTCGAGCTCTTTTACTGGTTGGATTCAATGGTGAATTCTCGTTTACATTACCAACACAGTCTTTCAATATCGACGATTGTGAATGCAACGCGGTATTGCGCCGATGTGATTTCTTAAATTCTTCGAGTAACTTAAAGGAGTTATCTAAGCCTCTCTGTAAAAAATAATCAGAATAGGACTTTTTTAATATAAGAAACGCATTCAAATTTTACTTACTCCCAAATTCCATAAAATTCTTAACGCATGCACTAATTCATTATGCTCATCCCAATTAATTGGCAAATAAAATGTACCAATTAAAAACATTCTATAAACTTTTGAAACAGGCAGATCCATTCCCCACACCTGCACCTCTTGGCCTGTATGCATAAATAAAAAATAATTTATTTACCTTATAAAATTAAAATACCGAGTTTATCTATCAACTTACCATGTATATGAAAGAACCATGTACGTAAATTTCTCAAAATTTTATAATCTCCGTGATTGTATTTTTTCACAATATCATTTAGAATATCACGACACCCCCAACAACCTTTAACATGGTCTTTTACATATCGAGGCGTGTCTGAAGTCAAATAACCACCTGATAACTCAACCATTCCAATTTCAAGTCCTTTATTTCCTGGAGTATGAAATATACCGTCCACCTCCATACCTAAAGGTTTGTCGTCTTCAGATTTTAAATTACGCCTCAATAATCTTTGATTAGCATTTGCTTTTAGATAAATTTCACCACTATTTTATTTGTTTGAAAAAAAGGGTTTTTAATGCTTTCAAGAAAAATGAAATGTAAGTCAAATATAATTCTATATTAACATACGGAATATATGTAATACGGTCGGTTGTATTCATGAGGTACTGTAATATTGGGTGAATCATTGATGATCCTAAAAGCGCCTCGTTTTTATGTATACCGTGAAAAGCGGATGCGGTATTAAATACATTATTGGCACTTTAATAAATAATGAATAAATAAAATATCCGAGATTAATTCTAAGGAATTATTATTAGGACACTTACAACCACCAAAGAACATCTGTAACAAATTCCATTTCTGCATCAACGTCATTTTTATATTTTGCTTCACGAATGGCTTTCTTATATTCGGTTAAAGAGTCCTATCATTAATAACAATTGTTAATAAAAATTTTATTAAAAAAAAAATCATAATGTCGAGTTACACTCACAGTCTCTAAAAGTAAAGTTAGTAGTTCTTCTGTGTTAGATGACAATTTAAAGTGTGGGAATTCGACACTTGAATTTAAATAGTTCCAATCTTCATCCTCTATCCATTCGGGCTTACGAACTTTGGCACCAATACGTATTATTCCAAAATGTGACGGACTAAAGATATAAACAATACTAATTGCATATGTGAAATTGGAAGGTGAGGTAAAAGAAAATATAAATCTACAACTTACTGCGATTTGTGAAGATTCTTTTGTCCATAAATTATACTTTTTATCGATCTTCCTGAAGGTAAGAGCCAATGATCCTTCGGGCTATCTACATTCGGATATTTTTGTACGAGAGACTCACTACCAGATTCTGCCTCATTGAAATCTGATTCTACCTCACTTAGCGGATAAAAATCTGAAATTTCATTTTCGCTAATATTTATCTCATGATTAAGCTCTAACTCTTTCAACTCCATTGATTTTATATTGTTGTTATCTGAACTTCCATTTATTTCCAAATTTTCTTTATCGGCATCACATTTTCTTTTTAAATTTTTTGGTTGGATATATACAATCGGTACTTCCTTTTTCTGTAAATAAATTTGATGTTATCATTTTTTTTTGCCAAATAACTTTAACAAAATTACATATAAAAAATCGTAACACCTCCGTATTAAAATTCCTCACACCCTCCGTAGTATCGCATGCAAAGTTTATCTATATTTAAAACAATCGTGTGTGATTAACCTTAAAGTTAATAACTATTCTTACATCTTGACAATCATTATCGTTGATCTAGTCGCAGAATCAGTTGCAAACCGTTCTATCTAATTGATGAAATACTATTCAATATTTTTGACATATAAAATTTCGGAAAAGGAACTCACCTGTAAATGTCCAATTTTCACACATGTATTATGCGAATCTAGTGAATTCTTTAGTGAAGACCAATTCTTTGCAGATAAGATTCGGGATTAATAATGCTCATAAGAAACATTTCACGATAGCAGCATAAAACGAAAACTTCTAGATATAAAAACAATCAGCTTGCGCTAAGCGTCGAACCAAAAGCTCATCACTGTAGACAAAGAGTCCAGCTTGCACTAAGCGTCGAACAAAGAATTCATGACTGTTCGAAGGCTCATTCCTTTCAGACAAGGAGTCCCAGCTTGTACCAGGTGTCGAACAAAGAGTTCATCACTGAAGACAGAGTCCCAGCTTGCACCAAGCGTCGAACAAAGAGTTCATGGCTGTTCAGAATGAGCTCTTAACTTACACAAATATACCTGCTAATTACCTTCCAAGTATTAAGAATTTCTTGTGCTTTTCTTTTACGCAATACATCGAAATCAAAATCAGGATTTAATACTTTTCCGAGATCTTTTTTTATGTAATCAAGTATTTTCTTCCTTTCTTTTTCCCCTGTTTTTTCTTGATAATAATTCGTTATATTAACGCAAGTCCAGTCCTCAATCGCTGTGACATGATAGAAAATCATGAGAATGGATATTGATTGTGCGGACATTGTTTTTTTTCATATAAGTTTATGTTTATTGTCCTCAGCTACTATATTTTTGTCCGAAGCGTAGCTGAGGACCTATATTGAAAATCTGTCAAATCATGTGATGGGCGTCTGTCACGGCGCGCGTAACTAGTGATGCAGGGGAATTAATTCTACTACAGTCAGGGATATTACCAAAAATGGACGATGTCGATCATACCATTTATGGTAATAAAATGTTAATCGCATGATTCTAGAGATTTCATAGCAGAACATTCATGTGATTGGCTAATTAGTCAGTGACCAATCAAATCTACCAAATTTTAAATATACTGCGCAATAATCTTTGAAAAAATTCTATTATTTTCTACTTGTTAACTTCGAAACTCAATTATTTTATTTTATTTTATTTTAAATAAGAAATACCGAAGGATAATTTGGCCGTTTCCAAACGATTGTTGCAGAACTTATTCAATATCTTGTTCCATTCGAATGAAGATTCAAAGATATAAAAAAATCGTTAGAATAACAAGATCTGGAATAACAAAGGACGATCTGACTAAAAGTTATTTTGAGATATCAGAATCTCGAAATTATATCTCAAATGATATGGAAAGATAAGTTAAATATATTATATTGTATCGTATGTGATTTTGAAAGAAGAATTGATTCATTTGATTTGCATTCTTGTAATATTTGGTATAATAATTTACATATTACGTATATTACTGATTTGGGACTTTATGTTTCATCCGATATTAAACAAGACTTTAGATGAGAATTTGTCATGCAAATGATCAGAATTCAGATTAGGAACGCCAAAATGCTATACAAATAGCAAAATTTTCTGTCAGAGTTGGATATTGGCTTGATGAGATGAAACAAGATGATGAAAATAGATTAAGTAGTAATTTTTGAAGCGGATAATATCATAGTAAGTTTGTAATTAGAACTAGTTTTAGTTTAGTTGTTAGCGAGCAATAGATTAGAAGTTAATATATTAGATTTAGTAATTTAATAGTCATTATATAGATTAATTAGTGCTGATTTTATTAAAATTTTTAAATTCAAATTTAATAATAATATAATATATCAATAAATCGATAAATAAATCAATAAATAAATCAATAAATAAATAAAAGTGATAAATAATAATAATAATAATCCTTGAATATTAAAAATTTAAAATTGTCAAAGTACAACGATCTTTGATTTTAAATAAGAATCTTGATTCAAGTACGACGACTTCCGATTTTAAATAAGAATCTTGATTCAGAACTTTAAGCGTGTTCTACTTCACTTATTTCACTTTCTGATATCTCTAAATTTTCAATGTTAGATTCATTGTTAATTAAAGATCTTACCTCTTCCAATATAACTAACAATTCACTACGATTTTTTGATTTAATTCCACGATATTTTATTTGAACGCTCTCATCTAATTGTTCAAGAAATGCTTCTATTTTGCAAACAATTTCTGCTTTCGTTATAGATACTTCACTTGTTTGCACAATGGCTTCTTGTTTAGTAATCAGAATTGGTCTAAATAAAGAAGCCAAGTCATTATTAATAAAAACATTAGTAATATATTCACGTCTAGCTTGCTTAGCTAAATTAGTGAACTCTATCAATTGTAAACTTAATTCATATTCCTCTCCCAAGCTATTATAAGTAGTTTTTAAGTCCATTGTTAGATTAATGAAATTATCTTTACGTAGGCAAGCTCAAAACCTCTGGCACTCCGTAGTCGCTTCTGGCCGATTCCTTGAACCAGTTATTTGAGAATCATTAAATCTGATTAAGTTGAAGAAATTATTTCGCAACTAAAATTCGATATGTAAATAAATTTATGTAAAGAATTAGGTTATAAATAATCAGATATATACTTAAAAAAACTTTTTACAATTTCGAGCCGCAATTTTCCAATGCCACATTTGTAGAACAGGAGGTATTAAAGTTTTTAGAGCTTTATTTATTTCTTCTAAAATTGCATCTTGTCCTTGATGCTGGTTAATGAATCCTGACTGAGATACAACACAATTCTTTTCTATAATATCTCTTACTGATGGGTCAAGTTGCATAAATTGTATTTTATCAGAAACTTCTATATGATAGTATATCGAGTGCTTTCGTGCAGACCATATTGGAGAGAAAATTCTTTTCGCAGCTCTTTTTAATAATGGATTGTTTTTCCTAATTGCTGTTCTGTAATTAACAATGGCTTGAAGATAAATAAATATCTAAAAATATGCATATATATATTTAATTACAAATGATCAAAATTTGTTTTAAAATAGATATTGGATTTCGAAACTAAACATTCTGATGAATTTAATTTCTTAAATTTACCTGCTTAAATTTTACTTGATAAAGCAGATCCTTTTGTTCTCTTACTCAGGATAAATAACCCTCTACTGACAAAATAGGATGACTTTTAACATATGGCCATACTAACTCCATAGCCATAGCTTGGCGATAAATATTGCAAACTAAATTCTATGACTTGTGGTAATCGTAGCATTTCTTAAAATAATTAAGTTGATTTTCAGTCTTATATCTCTAGGATATTGCAAATTGCTTAAGATCGATACTCCTATTTTTAGGCAATTAAAAGTTAATATAAATGCAAAAAAAAAAGTATTCAACAATACAAATTACCAATTTAATTCAACATATGCTCGTAGCATGTTCATTTCCTCATGTAATGGCCTGGGAACAAGAACTAACCACGGATATTTATTCTTTATGTTAGCTATTCGATGATATGGAATACTATTGCAAATTACAACTGTCTATTTACGCGTCCCATTTTTAATTCCTGCTATATTCTCAATGTGGAGAAGAATTTTTTCAATGTTAGTAGTTGAATTTTAATTAATATCAAGGGGGTCGGGAACAAAGATTTCTGGAACATTAACTTCTTGATCAGCATGTACTTTTTAGGTTATGCTTATTCTTGGTGCATTGGATCGTCAGATCTGCTCTTCAACACTATATGGCTTAAACACAATTGACTTTTCTATTATATTCTCAACTTTATCATCATCTTTTAATATTTCTGTTAACATAGGTAGATGAATGTTTTTAATTGGTACATTTTATTTGCCAATTAATTGGGATGAGCATAATGAATTAGTGCATGCGTTAAGAATT